CTAGGTGCAAAAACCATAACGAAAGATCAGTGTTCCAAAAAGGTGGAGGGGCTAACGCAACTGCCTTGACCAGGACAGGCTCAACGGCGCTAACTGCGTATGGAGATGGCTCATTCTCTAGATAATCCATTGCAGAAGGCGAATAAAATGTGTGATAGGTAAGAAAACAATATGATCGGAAGCAATTAATCAGAATCACTTCCACCAAAATGAAAATTCAACATGCAGACGGCGTGCTCAGGACCGGGGTCACCAATTGTTGGGTGGAGCCTAGGATACTAGTCGGTACCCAATGACACGTAAGCGACGTGTTAACTAGGGACAGTAGAGAGGGTAGTGACGACTGAACCCAACATATATTATTCAGACTACAAAAATATGGGGAAACAACCAGAGCGAGAAACGGTGCAGTAAGGTACTCATCAAAACGAATGGTGACAACGATTGTGCCGTCAATAAAACAAGTGGATGTTTTGGTGGTTAAAATAACCATAAAATCCAATGTTACAAAATACTGAAAAGACGTGATTTCCGGTAAACTACAAGGGTGCCACCCTTGTGTACACTGCAACTTCAGCGAAAAAGCCAATATGGATGCATTGCCACTTGAATTATCTCAGTGGAAAGCTTAAAAGTGCAAAGAACCTACAGCATACAACATTGTTAGCAATTGAAGTTTTACTGATAACGAGACTGACAGCGATAGGTTTGCCCTTGACGCGAGTAATGGTGAACGTATGGATGCGACCTACATTCTCGGAAACCCATCATTGAAACACCCTACATCTCCGAGCTTTCAGCAGGTGACATTGTTTTGAGCAGAGTCGCTACCAAAAGAATATGCAGCTATTACATGGGAAAGTAGCAAGCATTTCCCCCATTGAAAATAGCCTGGTAGTCACTTTCTGAGAAGAAAGCCAACAAATACAAGTAGAGTATTGTTCTTCTTCTCAGAGCAGGAAGATACCAGTGATTTATCCCTGTCAGATGTCCTGGTTTTGTTCCCAAAGGCCTCTTCTGGTGGAATTAGGTGAACAAACCACCATGTGTCACGTGTCATTGAATAATGAGTTGGGACATTTTGCCCAAAAGATTGAAGCATGTTACTCTGCAGTGGGGTAAGTCCCATAATACTTTTTTACTTCAAAAGTTTACCAGGTCATCTAATGTTAGTTTTTAACCTTTTCTTAGTTAAAGGAATGGATGGGCTCTCTAAAAAGCAAAAAGTCGAAATTCTAACATAAAAGTTATACAGTCCAACCCGCTTTATTGCCCACCATCGGGATATCGCAACTGTGGATACTAAGGCGTGTTGGGCAATTAACCGATATTGCCAATATGCCATAATGGAAAAGTCATTGAATTGTTGTACAGTATATCGCCTGAGTTATAATATGATAAGAAATCTAAAATACGTACTTTTAACTGAAACCAACAAAACACGTTTATTCAGAAGAGCATGACTTATAATTTAAAGATTGTAACATAAAGCATCGTGCCTGGCTAGCTTAAAACGCTGGCGCTACTATATATTTTTCATGAGAGAACAACCCAACTTCAGTCGTACTTTATTTCTTGTGAATATTCCAGTCACTTTTGCTCTGCTGAAGTCCAATTGGGACAAGAAATCGTTGCCTTGCATATGCAACAGTCCTTAGCTACAGAGATCATTCACGCAGTTAGCTGCTCTTGAATGTGGCACGCGTTGATTGCTGTTACTCATGGAGGCATCCGACACGTCAAATTCAGAGTCGCTGCTTTCTTTCTGTTCCTGTCATTGCTCTAAAATTTAACTGACGATTTCATCGTCAACAGTTGTCAGGTCTGAGGTATATTCCACATCGTTTTAAATATCGACGAACTCTACTGCATTCATGACTGGGATTGTGCAAGCGCTGATTTCCTCTTCAGCGATGACGGCGTCATCAGAAAGTGTATCGGATTCCAGTCGACGGAAGCCAGCATGCCGAAAGCATGCTTTTATTGTTACACCAGTAACCTGTCTTCAAATTTTGTAAGGAACTTAAATGCCTTGCGCACAGAAATCTAGGCGTTGACATCCGCCACTGAGGATGAGTCAGATAACACGTTTTCGAGGTGAAGGAACTCGGTCCCTAACTGCTGATGTGTTTGTGAAGCTCTTCTCAGCGTTCGTGCGACCCCACCTAGAATATTGCGTCCAGGACTCTCCACCATGCCTTGTCCGGGACAAAATGGCACTACACCATTTCCCGGCCAAGTGGTCCTCTTGGGTAACCGAAATAATCTGAGGGGGCATTCAACATGAGTCTACTCAACTAATTTGTTCCGTGCGTAGGAGCTGAAGCGTCCCACCTGCACCCCTATGACTTAGTGCGTCTGAGGTCCAATTGGCTGAAGGCGACGGGCTATACACGCACACTTACACATCTGCACATTGACTGGCGTACGCACGGAACAAATTAATTGAGTAGACTCATCTTGAATGTCCCCTCAGATTATTTGTTGCCGAAGAGGACAACTTGGCCGGGAAATGGTATAGAAAGGGTGTTGCGTGTCGGTACTAGGTTGGTCAAGGGATTACGAGGGCAAACGTAACCCGAGCGCCTACTTAGTTTGGGGATGCAGTCAATGCACTATCGAAGGACTACAGGAGACCTAATCCTAACTTATTGTATTTCGACCGGGAAGGTTGGCCCTGATTTGTCCATGCTATTCAGTCCTGCTAGATTAGCTGGTCTCCGCGGGCACTGTATGAAGCTGGACAAACCGCGGTCCGATCGAGTTAGAGCGGAGACACGGTTATCACGTCGAGTCATCGAGTGCTGGAACCTGCTTCCAGAAAATGTTGTCAAGGAAGCTACGGTTAAGGGGTTTGAGCGTCAACTAGACGCACTTGAGTGGTAACACGAAACCTTTCCTTTTTCCTGACTAATTCCCATCTTCATACTGCGATTCTATTTTCTGTACTTTTCCTTGCCATTGGTATTATTCTCTTCTTTTTACTGCTTTCCCCTACTCTCTTACCTTCACTTTTTCTTCCTCTCTTACTTACTTCACCTAACTGACATAGCTAGGACAGCTAATGTAAGGAACGTGGACAGTAAATTGGTGGACCAGGGTATTTTTCGTGTGTTTTCTTTTTAGACCCATCAAGATGTCGGAGCACCTCTATCAACTCCTGGATCGACGACCCGCTCAAGAAGGAGTACTTACGGGATTCATCCCATCGTTCCAGTCCCTCTTGAACTTGAACTAATTCTCAGATTCATACTCATACTCTGGTCCATGGATTGAAGAATACTAGCCGTGTTTGCCTGCAAAAATTCCAATTGAATATTTTTAGTTTTTACCTGTGGATGCACTGTGCAATTATCCAAGCGCAACATAACTTTTAGACCACCTTCGCCTAGCTCATTGTCCCGTTCGAGGACCAACTCGTCGAAATGTTCCTTCGATATACACGCAGTTTTGTTAGCTCTGTAAGTTACGGAAAGTGTACGTTCATGCGATTAAAACATCATGTTTCTAACCGTTTAAATTAATATTCTGTTTCTTTAACCGTGCCAGACATATTCGCGCAGCACAGAAGTGATCCTATCCATGACGTTTTCGATTTGCTAGGCTTGTTAGTAGCAAAACACAAAGAGCATACTGGAGCTGCTCGGTAGAAACGACCTGTTTCGTCCGCATTGTATAAGTTATCATCATAAAATGCGTTTAAAAGTACTGGCAGCCAATCTTTCAACCAATTTTCACAGACTGGTCAGTCCGCGGAACGCTTTTTGCCATCTGCAGATGGCAAATACACAATATGAATTCAATTCTGCCATCTTCACAACGGTCCACCTGTGGCAGCACAGGTTTTTCCAAGTCGTTCGGCAAATCCATCTGCCTTTTTTTCAGAAGGGTGCCTGTAACTAGTTGGTTGCGCGCACAAAGCAAACTCATCCAGTTGTCTTACTGTATTTTCTTCTTCAGCCTTTCCACATCGTTTACTTTGCTGAGAGCTTGCAATGCCATGCAACAAAATCTGCCGGAGTTCCTTTTCACTGACAATCAATCTGGATAGGGTAGGACAAATATGTGTGAATTACGAGATACTTTGAGCTGCGAGGTTACTGGCGGAAATGTTTTAATTTGTCCGAAACATCTAACTTTTTGGTCAAGGACAAATCCATTATGTTACTTGGCATACTTTTGTGTAAACAATAGGGCAGTTGTAGAGAAGAATCGAAACTGTTTTGGCGCGCGTCCAAAGTTGAATCGTTGCAATAACGGCCCTCTCTCCCGTTTGTCATTCAGAGCGCCTTTCCTGCTCAGTTACCGAAGGAGAACAAGAACACAACGACATTGGTTAACTAGGCTACGTGTTGTGTAATAGAACTTCGTTCTCAACCGTTGGAGTTCTTCCGTGCTTGCGTGTTACAAAGTGGCGACCCTGTCAAGTCACAAGAATCAGGAATCCACCATCTTCCAACAAATTCTAGGTTGGTTGTTGGATATCCCGTTTTACTTCGTTTGATGTGATTGCTGACAGGGTGCCTACCTGTCTAATAGTCTCCAAGAACCACTGAATCGTTGCCGGTGGCAGCGGAGTGCACCGTCTTCGTAACGGTGCGAATCTCAACGAGTGATTCCAAGCAGTGTGGAGCGGGTTCCGGTCCAGCCACCGCCTTGTGTACACGTGATTCCAAATTAGACAGTCAGGAATACTGCTGATGGACATGGTGAAGGGGTGTGTGTCGGCTCCATTGATGAAACGTGTCTTCGATCTACATGCCTCCCTATCTGATTCCTTCGGGTTTACATTGGATATGGGGTATGTAAATGGAGCTGTTGGTGGTGCAGCGCAAACCACCCATGGTCCCTGTGTAGACGCAGGCCTCTTACCTCTTCATAGCTAAAACCTTCCTTAGAACAACACACGAATGCACATAAGTCAAAGGAGCTTAATAATAAACATCAGACAAAATCAGTCACAAATATACAAAGGCATCGAAGTATTAACAAAAACGTTCTGGTGTGACACAAATGCAAAGTGGGGATGCGTTCCACAGCGGTGGACTGTAGGCATATTCATTGGGTCCGTTATCCTTGGTCTGTCAATGTATCCAAGAAGAATGATATGCACGCAAACGTCGCATTGCTGCCCGTATCCATTCACATTGGGAGCTCACGGTATTGAAGAGCAGAGTTCCAAGCACACCTCATGTAATGAAGTCCATCGCCACATTATGAGACTTGCACGTTGGATTCCTGCTTCAATACGATTTGTGAAACTGAGTTGTCATACGAAGCTGAGTGTGCAACTGCTACAACAGATTGGAAAGCAATCAGAAATGAAATAAACGTATGTCATGAAGTTGCAACAATAAAAGTAGCAAATTAGGGAAAGTATATTCATAGCTGTGAGATGCGTTAGGCCTCTACTTCTAAAGAGAGTGCACTCTGAGAGTGTACCAACTGACTGGTTATTTCAGACACAATCCTTGTCCATGAGATGTGCGGGTGAATAGTGTTTACGCCCGATTGCAAAGCCATTTGAAACGATTACGTTGCATGGTTTTTTGACTAGGACTAGTATGCTGAGGCAGGTCCAGTACTACAAAAAAACCCGCAAAAACAGATGCTTCTTCGCCTGGTACAATCGCATGAAGACCAATTAAGGACATGAAGAAGCACTGAATAGACTAGTATGTCCAACCGCACGCATCACTAACTACAGATCCAAAGTGAGTCTCCTGAAGAATCATCGGTCTCGCGTGGTAAACACGTAGTACCATCGCCAAAGCGACTAACCGTCAGTAAAGATAACACGCTTTCCTTCACACGATCTGAATGTCTAAAACTTTGACGGCTGTCCGCAAGTCAGCTTGAACTGCGTCTATCCCGATTGTTTAAACCAAAAGTAGCAACTGCATGAGAAGTGAAACAGCTGATATCGCTCAAAGGCTGTAGGCCAATATAAATCAAGTCCGCTCTCCCTAGGATCCATAGAAATGCGAAGTAAACTGCACATGCGGGTTCCATTATTTCAATCATCGCTACGTGGATTCGACTAAATTAGCGCGTGATTATTGACGCTGGATGTAGTGACTGTGAGGATCGATGACAGGTCACGCAAAATAAACGTTAGGGGGAAAACGTGCAGAAGAAGTCAACTGCATTTGAGACGACACCAGGGACAGCAATGTGGATTGGGAGTGGTGCGCCCTATGGCGTGGGACAAGAACACGGCCGAAGATACAGCGAAGATGACGCGGAGTGGCGAGGTGCACGGGGTGCACAGAAATTTGGAGGAGCAAAAACACAAAAAATTAGATGTGATGGAAGTGTCATCTTAGAGGGAACGGATGGACCAAGCAAGTGAGCCAAATAGCCAATGGGAGATGGGCGTAACAGATTCGATTACTGGACATGGATTGGCCGACATTCGTGTAAGTCATTCACTGTTTGCTTAAGTAAGTCAAAGGAGAAACCCCATCGACTCAGAAAGGACGTTAGTTTTGGACTTAAAGTTGCAATTTAGATTGAGGAGTTTAGCTTGCCAAACCTGCTGCAATTTTCGCCCCCTGTTGCACAACTCAGTGCTTCAGGGACAAGCGTTCATTCAACTTGGGATCGCAACATTTACGTCCATGAGCTGCATTCTAAAGGAGTGCGGCGCCGGACCACATACACATGACTACATGGCCCATTCCACATGCATACCATGCATGGGTGTCCTACGGCTGTTCGCACAGTCACGATAATAGGTAAATCCAAGGAAGAAGGCCGCCGATTGCGATTGTAGGCGCTGAATTTGGTGGGGTGTAGAAGTTACCACTGTGCGTCGTTCTGACGATCTAACAGGCAGAAGGATTTCACAGTTGGAGAAAAGATGTGCGTCAGCAGAAGGAACAAGAAAAAAGTTGACGTTATAGGTAGCATGGTTGAAGGTATCGAAGTCAAGTGGTATAATGAACGATAGTGTAACCCATAGTAAAACAATGCAACCAGATTCAAGAATTTTGAATGATCTTGGAACCGACTGGGATTTCATAAAATCAGAGGAGATTTTGTAGTAGTGATAGGTTTTGCATAACCTTGTATTGCAACAATGTTTCGCTCTTGACACCTGAGTTTCTTCAGACCGGGCGAAATAAAACATAATCGGCTTAGATATTTATAGCAAAGTAGGATGATGATCGCGGTAGATAATCCGAATCAGTGGATAAATGTGGTTACAATTCCAAAACGTTAACCTGATGTTACTATGAACGTGGGGCTGGCTTGCCGAACAACCTCCTCGTGGTGCCAGCTGGGTGGTTCGGGATTTTCCCGTTCCAGCAAATGGTTCGGCGGCAGTGTTCCAGGACGTGGTGGGATTTCGCCTGGCAAGCGTTCTTCCTTTACAAAGCCACATATGTCCGTTTAACAACACTGTGACGTGGCGGATGTGACTCGCCACTAAATAAAGTCACTGCCCCTTGCTCTTCATCCTGGCGAAGCATTGTATTCCAGCAAGTTGATGCTGTAATTTCGGGGAGCATTGGGCCCCTGTTTGACAAAGGAACAAACGAAAGGCGTATGAACTGATCAATCAGTCACCGGCTCCCAATGGGCGCGATTCCCTGAATTCGCTCCGCTGCCTTGCGGACAGGCTATTCAGCCAAAGTCTCGGGGTGGTGTCCCCTAAGTCAACACCCTACTTCGGCTTGGGCAACCGGGTAGTATTTCGCCCTCTGACGAAACCGTGGACATTGTTGTGTTGTGTTGTGTTTTCTTTTACTATTTCTGTACCTTGTTTTGAGTTCCATGGTTTCCGATGGTGCAATGTCTATTCATAGACTGTTGCAAATATATATATATATATATATATATATATATATATATATATATATATATATATATACTATGAACGTGGAACAAACCCAACTGATCCGTGCAACGAGTGATCCACGTGTGAAGCGCTATGGTTGTTGCTGTTGACTCTAGTGAGGCTGATTCGATATTTTCGCCCCAACCTGAGTCCGTCCGTCGAAGCTACTCAGACTGGCCGGGTTAAGACAGTCCGTCACGCGTTCGATAGTTTCACTCCGTCCATTCTGTTTACGGAGTTAGCGGCTTTGGAGGTCTCTAACGTCTCAGCAATTAATATTTGGGTTGGTGTTCTCAAGTGTTTCTTGATGATTTCCACATTGCCCTAGTCGATTTCTTGTCCTGAGTCAAGCGCACGTAACGCTACCGCAGAATGTTTCAGTAAGACGTTATATTCAGACTCGTTTCTAGGCGGACGCAAAACGTTCCACAATACAAGCCTGTAAAAACCGATCTTTAAGAAAACTTCCGAAATTATTAAGGAATCCTTTCAAAAATGTACACTCACCCCTGTCAGTAGATTTGATACCCATTTGCGGACCGTCATTCCGAGCAAACAATGCATCACAGAGTTCATTTCTAGAGGGATGCTCTTCTGAATTGCAAAGCAGAAAGTGAACAACTGCAGATGTATCAAAATTGGAAAACCAACACGGAAGAGAGGATAAAATTTACAGATTGGGAGTATGCCGCTGATAGCTAATAAAGGTCTCAATAATGATTACTGAAGATGGGGATTCGGAACATGAAAGAGTGGCTACTCTTGTAACACAAGTGAGTTAGCTGAGGGCTATACTGCGTGAAGTTTGTTGTTCACAAACTACCTTGCTACCAAATAAACATAATGCGCAGAGTAATCTGAGTGTAGAGATGGCGGTAGTCACTGGTAGATGCAGCTTGCACCATCGCGCAGACGGTCAATCGTAAACAAAAACCAACGGATGTGCAGAGAACATCAAAGAACCGCTCATCTTAAGGAGTGCATGAAATCAGAGTTGCCTTACCCGTGGGAGACTGTAAGGCGAACTGAACAGATACAGGGACCAAATGGCAGTGACGAGATTAAAATGTATGGAGAAAGGGTAACTGCATACTGCGGAGCAAAACGGCTCCATAAGAGAGCGACCGTTGACGCGTGTCATCCACAAATTACCACAGCCTGCAATCAACTATGGTTCCACAGTAGTCCGAGTGGATTCTTTCCTCTCAAAGAGATCGATAAACCCTTGATACTTACCATCGGGTATTCAATAGATTACGACCATCTGCAATTCGATCAGAGTGTGTACGCAAGATATGGTCGCCCAGGAAGGCTTGAAGCTAACCTATCAAAAGCTCAGCGGACTCAACAGGCACATAACTGACAGTCAAGTGTAAAATTGGGATTAAACAGTAGAATGACACGCTGTCCGTCAGTTTCCAAGAAAGGAAAGGATAAAAAGGAAACGACTAGCGAGTTCCTGCTCCTCCACGTACAGAAATAATGACATAAAGGCGCCAAGCAATTACGTCATCGTGAGAATACTTGAGAATAGCGAGACAAAATGGTTTGCATACTTCCAGGATTCAATGAAAAATGAGAACGGTCACTTTTTAAGCGCCACCGCAGTCATATACACCTGACAGATAATCCGCGGATGACCGTGGCAACAGATGCACTATATATTAGAATCGAAATAGACGCAGTAACTGCTCTGAATCTGCAAAGAATACGTTTGAAATACCCCTTGACAATACACAGTCATACAAATATGCTGGACTGGTTCCCCAAAACCCTGCGGGTTAAACTACCCAGTTAAAAATAAGAGAGAGGTGAACAACACCAACCGCTCGGAATGGGTAGCCACCGCAGAGCAACATTTGTCTACAAGACACGACTACCAGTATGTGATCGGAACCAAGTGACAAAAAACGATAACAGCATGCAAAACTGACGGAAGTCACCGGTGGGGTAATCCGCGGTAGTGCCCTTGGTTCTCTTCTTTTTCTTATCTGCAGTAATGATAAATGAAAAAAATCAAAGGTTGCACCAATTGTATATGTGGCTGATATAAAATCGTCTATTCGTTCAATGAGGATGATTTGTGCAAAGCACTACGACGTATTCTGAATAATCGTCCACCCCCAGAATATCAGTGTCTTCAGTGGGGAAGTAGACAAATAAAAAACCTGTTCTTGTGGATGATGCCACATCCCATGTTAATGACTCGAAGTTCATAATGAACAGCTCAAGCAATACTTTTCCATCTAGGATAGAAAGGTGCGGCACTCGGTAGTGTCTGAAAAATGCAATTATTTCATCAGACAGTCCGGGCATCGCGAAGCTAGACATTAGCTATATACGGCATGTCAAAAGGCATGATGGCACGTCGTACCAACACTGATGTCACGCGACCACTACAATTCACGCGTGAGCCGTAAGGTTGCGCGCCCCTACGCGGATTCGGAACAGCGACGTCTGGATTTAAACTTAGGTGCCTAATACATCCGGTCCCCAGCAAATATATGTTCCACGCACAAAAGAATATTAGTCATGTGTATACACTAAGTAAGTGCGACAAAATGGTAGTTGAGACAGTTCAGAAAGGCTTTAGAAAGCACTAAACAGGGTACTCCATTACTATAACCTACTGCGAAAGCTGTCAAGAACTTGGTATTGATCCGTTATGGTTGCAGAGGCTGACAAGTAAACTCTACTATCCATATCCAGCCATCAAGCATACCGAACGGTATCAGTACAGAAACCATGCGATGGGATTTCGCGTACTGAAGTGCAGCACAACACATAGAAGAAAAAGTTCAAAATATGGAAAAATTGAACAGAACAAAGTAGACAGATCAAACCTTTGACGAGAGAAATGTAAAGACATCTTGCGGTGTACATCACAACAAAGATGTTGTGCTCAATGGGGAGTCAATGAAGAAGTTGAAACTGGAGGAACAAGCAACCAAATATGAGGAGCTAAAAAATGCTGTTCGCTTTTTTAATCTTCATTACGTAGTCAGCTTGTTTGCCTTGCTGCTCTTGTTTCCCCAAGGAAGCCGAAAAAGGAAAACAAACTGAACTTTCAACGTAAGTCATTCTAGCGCTTTTGCGTTCAAAGTTTAGTCGACCTCACGTTATGGACGGCGCAAAAATCATACCTGATTACCAAATGTGACAGTGACTGGTTTCCACTGATTTTTACTATTTCTCCAAATACTTGCAGCACTTTCACCATGTCTGAATTCGAACCATTTACCGTAATCACAAATCATAACAAGAGAAGATGCTAAGAAATTTAATGTGCAAAGGCAAAAAGCATATGGTAAGTAAGCAAGTCTTGTCAATGTACTTCCAGTACAACATACGTAATAGCGGTTCTGATCAGTAGAATAAGTGTACGATTTCATACAAATCACCCAATGTGCTCGATTCCGCGCCAGAAAGAAAGAAAGACATCAACAGCAAGCCGGTAGGCAGTAGTGACGCCTCGCTGCCGCTCAGCCACCAGCAGTCGCACGTCGGCTAAGGATCCAACGAGAGTCGACTGGTCCCTACACAGGCTCGAACCAGCGCCCTCGGATTACAAACCAGGCTTGTGATCTTTAAAACTACGGACCGGCTTCCGCGCCAGGTCCTCACGAGGTTCCAGCCAGCGATGGTTTAAACCGCTAGCCCCCAAATCCTGTGGACGTACCGGAACGACAACAGCTACAAGGGAAGTCCACGCCTTGAACGTTTGCTACCATGTGATAGGTTGGTTACCACGCGATTCCTTTCAGCACGGCCCTGCTCGAGAAAATAGAACGTGCCATGGTGGTTGCAAACATGTATGTATGTAATCTCAACAGTCTAGTAACTAGACATAGAGCCAAGAAAACCATGGAAATCAGTGTATAAGAGACAGTCATTGCGTCATAATCGTCATGGCATGCTAGCTGAAGGTGGGCAACACACTTCAGCTAATATGCCGCAAGGAAATGGAATATGTTGACAAAAATACAGAACAAAACATTTTTAGTTTATTTGTCACACGCCGGTTTTTCTCTTTTTTTGTCATTTTCAATTTTTGTAGAATTAAACATGTGAATCAACACAACACTGTACACAATTCTTCCATTGATTCCGGTTGCGGGCCATGTCTTCAAGTGTCCTAAGCCATTGGCAGTCGCCATCTTCGGGTCCCCATGCTGGAAGACGGACGGGTCCAACAGCGGCTAGACACGACGTCAGCGATTTCATGTGCTGCCGCCAAGTGGAAGGCTGACCACCACGCGGTCGCTTCCAGCCAGGTCCTTGACGAGCGAATAGAGCGCGACGAGGTAGACGCTCAGGTGCCATGCGTAGGACATGACCGAGCCATCTTAACTGGCGCAACAAAACCAGTTTGTGGAAGGAAATACTTGCATTCCCCAAGACGCGACGTCGAACGTCATTACTGGTAACTCGATGTTGCCACCGAACACGAGCGATCCTCCTTAAGCAACCGTTATCGAACGCAGAAAGACGACGCATGTCTTCCACGCGAATCGGCCAGGACTCGCTCCCGTACAACAATACTGAGCGAACGGACGCGCTGTAAACTCGGCCCTTTAGTGAGAATGAGACGTCGCGACGACGCCACAAGTGCCTCAGATTGACAAATGCTGATCGAGCTTTAGCGATACGAAGCGAAACTTCTTTGTTGATTGTGCCGTCAGCGGAAACACAGCTCCCAAGGTAGACGAAACTATCTACCTGTTCAAGTTGTGCACCTTGGAGAGTGAGCACGGGTGCAGGTGAAAGCCAATCCTTGAGCAGTACTTTACACTTCGATGGGGCGAAGCTCATGCCATACTTAGATGCTTCAACCGCCAAACGATCCAGAATGAGTTGCATACCCTGAGGATCGTCACCAAGTAAGGCGATATCATCAGCATAATCTAAGTCGGTCGCGCCATCACCCGGTAGAAGCTCTAGGCCAAAATGTTGGAAACCTTCTAGGGCATTCGACAGAACGTCTTCGATTGCGAGGTTGAAGAGGAATGGGGACATAGGGCAGCCCTGTCGCACACCGCTATTGACAGTGAATTGCGAGGAAAGCTTGCCATAGACCCTCACTCTGCCGGATGTGTGAAGGTAAAGTGCTCGTAAGATGGCGATATATTTCTCTGGCACTCCGTTCTTTAGTAAGCAACGCCATAAAGCAGGTCGATCAACGGAGTCAAAAGCGGCACGTATGTCTAGGAATGCAACGATAGTGGGCCTGTGATAAATGTGGCGATGTTCAAGGAGTTGGCGGAGCGTGAAGATTTGATCCACGCATCCGCGGCCAGGACGGAAACCAGCTTGTTCTTCACGGTAGTACGATTCACGTACTGGGGATAGTTTACGAAGTAGAATGGATGCCAACAGCTTAGAGGCAACCGAAATAAGACTAATCCCGCGATGATTTGCACATGAAGTGCGAGCGCCTTTCTTGAAAATTGGGACAATAACTGATTCGCCCCAAGAGGGAGGCACTCTCTCTTCATGCCAAATTTTTGCGAACAGCGCGGTTAGCTGGTTAATGACTGCCACACCGCCATACTTGAATAGCTCCGGAGGAAGTCCGTCTAAGCCGGCAGCCTTGAAGCGCTTCAAGCGTCGAATCTCGAGGCAGACTTCCGCTTCGCTGGGTGGATTCAATGGGACTAGCCAAGGTGGACCGCAAGGTGTACTGCATGTACTGATGGATGGTGGAGGCCAGTTAAACTGCGAGTGAAAGTGCTCGGCCCAGCGGTCCATACGCCTCTGTAAGTTGGTGATCGGAGACTTATCCACCTCACAAATGACCTCACTGACACCAGGCTTCCTGAGGCCAGTGGACCGAATGAGTTGGAAAAGCCTGCGAGTGTTACCAGAGAGGGCAGCAGTCTCCATCTCTAAAGCACGCTCAGACCACCATGTCTCGCGATCCTTGCGGAGGCTTTGCTTAAGCAGCCGGTTGGTAGAACGGCGCCGCTCGTTGCAATCTGATTCCGCGGAGATATCTTTGCGGCGTTCGAAGAGCTCCAGAGAACGAGCAGAGATCCAAGACTTCAAAGGGCGTCGAGTTAGACCGCAGTATGACTGTCCGGAAATGGTCAGCGCTTTCCGTATACAAGTCCAGTGTTGTTCCACTTCTCGCGGTGGATTGCAACTGAGTGCATATGCCAGTGAAGACTGATAGCTCTCCTGGACAGAGGAATCAGTTAATCTGTTTACATCAATCTTGCGGTGCTTCGTGTTTCGGGATCCTCCAAAACACATACAGATTTTCGCGCAGACCAGAGCATGATCTGAATCAACGAAAGTGGACCAAAAGGACCTGCAGTCCAGTACGCTGCCGCACCATCTGAAGCTAATCGCAATGTGATCAATTTGAGACCAAGGTTGTGTTGGCGAAGGGGGACGCCAAGTTGCGGAACGTTTCTTCGTACGCAAACATATATGCGTGGGGCGTGACCCAGCCATCTCAGTTGGCGCAGCGGAATAAGCGTGTCAAGTAGAAAATCTGTATTACCTAAAAAGCGAGATCTGACATCCACGTCGACAACGTGGTGTTCTCGAAACACAGACGAGTTGTAACTCCGCAGACAACTGTTGTCAAAGTCCGAAATCCGATGCATGACATTTACGAAGATCGGCCATGGCACATTTCAGTACGAGAATACCTCGCGAACACAGGAATTGTAGACCTTGTCATTTACAGAAAGCAAAACGCCACGACAACACATCAAATGTCTCAGATTAGCGAAAGCTGATCGGGCTTTGACAATACGAAAAGTCTCGCTTCTAGTGTTCCTACCAGTAAAAACACAACTCCCCAGGTAGGTGTCAACTCGCTCAGGCTGCGTGCGTTAAAGAGCCAGCACTGGGGCAGGTAGATATTTTTTGCAACAGTCTATGAGTAGATATTGAGCCATCGGAAAACATGGAACTCAAAACAAGGCACAGATATAGTAAAACACAACACAACGGAGTCCATGGTTTCGTCAGAGGGCGAGATACTACCCGGTTGCCCAAGCCGAAGTAGGGTGTTGACTTAGGGGACACCACCCCGAGACTTTGGCTGAATAGCCTACCCGCAAGGCAGCGGAGCGAATTCAGGGAATCGCGCCCATTGGGAGCCGGTGACTGATTGATCAGTTCATACGCCTTTCGTTTGTTCCTTTGTCAAACAGGGGCCCAATGCTCCCCGAAATTACAGCATCAACTTGCTGGAATACAATGCTTCGCCAGGATGAAGAGCAAGGGGCAGTGACGTTATTTAGTGGCGAGTCACGTCCGCCACGTCACAGTGTTGTTATACGGACATATGTGGCTTTGTAAAGGAAGAACGCTTGCCAGGCGAAAACCCACCACTTCCTGGAACACTGCAGGTAGATGCCAACCATGCATTTGGTGGGGCCATTGATCACGCCATACTTGGTAACTACAATCAGCAAGCGGGTTTAAAATGCCTCGCATACTATGCGGGTGACTACTGAGGAAGGCGATGTCGTATTCCGAGTCAGCCGCTCACTTGCCTGGCATAAACTGTACATCAGAATCCCGAGGCCTTCCAGAATGCATAATAGGAGGACATCCTAAACCGTAAAACTGAAGGAAGACGGGAACATGGGAGATCCCTGCTGTACACTGCCAGAGACGTTGAAAGGTAAGTAGAGTTTATCGTAAGTTCTCACTTTGCTCGAGAGATATGTGTATAAGGCTCGAAAGATGGTGATATACTTTTCGCGTACCACATTCTTCTGCAGTCAATGCCATAGATCATACCGATCGACCAAGTCGAACGCAGTCTGGTTGTCCAAAAAAGCTACAATTGTAGGTTGGTGGTAAAGGTGAGACTGCTTGAGTGGTTGGTGAAGCGTAAACGATGGGGGAGGGGACGGAAAATAGCCGGTTCCACAAGGAAGTGTAGCACCCAAGTCGAAATTAGTCTGCAAAGTAGAATGGATGTTTACAATTTGCTGGCGAGGGATACTGGACTGATTTCTCCGTGGTTGGCGCATAAGGCACGGGCCCACTTATGATCTAGAAATGCTTGCAGAAGTTTCCAGAGAGTTGCTGTCCCCATCTCTGGATGGCACTGGAGCCAAATTTTCGCGATCGTCACGCATACATTCTAAGGTTGCGGCAGACTTCACCGCGGTTTGAACGAGCTGGCGAAGATCGAACAATCCTAGTGAGCGAGCGCAGATCCAACACCTCAGAGGGCGACCAGTGAATTCACAGTATGATTGAGATGCAGGAAGTAACGCTTTCCAAAGAAACTCCAGAATGTTCGACGCCCTGAAGTGGAGCAACAGCGAACGCCAGCAATATGCAAGTTTAGTAGAGGAGTTAGCTGGCTTGTTGGTATAAAGAGTACGGTGCTTGGATTTCGAACAAACTTCCAAAGCGCATGCAGATGTCCGCACAGACCAGAGCGTGATCTGAGCCGAGGAAGGGATTGTGGGTATTCATTTGTCCAGGGTTTGCCGAATGGCGCACAGCCATGTGGCTCAAACACGCCGGTATGCAGAGTCAAGGTCGAAGACATGTGGGAGATGTAAAATGAGTGAAATTCTGTACATCTATTAGATGATGCATCCACCTTCCCTTCGAAGCCCGACGGAGTAAAACAGAAGATGCGGTACAGATTAGTCTCATGCGATGGAGTTGAGGTAAACGGAAGCAAGGAAAAGTGCTGTCCATGCTCGTTAATTATTCGCGAGTGAAACAAGACGTAAGGATACGCTAGATATGGAGACTGACAAGAGGAGCGCCATATGCAATTGTTATGAAAGATGGAACCACATGTTCAACTGTCCACAAGTTTATTAAGGATTGAGTCACACAGTAAAAGAACCACTGAATTTGATTGCGCGACGTATCGTTAGACAGTTCGAGCCATCTGCATTCCAAATCCCTTTGACTCCCGGCCAGAATCAGAGGTGGCTAAAGGTGAGGGGGTCTTACCACCGCCCATAACTGAAGGTTGAAACATTGGCGCATGTAATCTATGCGGCATTTAAGCGGAGACGCTTAAGTTCGGCTCTTTAAAGTCGGTGACAATGAACGCAAGCTTCGTGATGACAAAGAGAATATATAGGTTAGCTGCGCAATAAGGTTACCTAGGTGCAAAGCCACTGCTCTAGGTACGCCTGCACTCTCGAATGGAGAAGTTTGTGCGTGTCGAAGGAGCGCGGGAGCCGTGATTCTTATTCGCATAAAGCATGTCACTATGCAACAAATTTGTGCCAATTTGACCAAGAGTGTACAGAGCTGTAGATGAAGAAGTTCCCGTGTAGGTAAAAACGTCTTGTGGATGTCCAATAAATCAGGCAAAGCAGGAGGAGGATGCAACAGATAACTAGCGTGGAAAACAAGTTCCGCTAATTGTGAATTGCGCAATCGTGCGATGGAATGGTTCGTTCCGATCTCCATCAACGAATCAGTGACGGATGGTGGTGCATGAGAATGTCAGTCAATTTGAGGTGGGTAAACGTTCGTTGTTGCCCGTTCTCGGTTAAGTGCTTCCTTACGAGCTTCAGTTAGAGACAATCGAAATCGGACTCCAACCGAAAAAGTAGAAATTACAGGCAATGCACTAAGAAATTAAGCAGTGGACTAGCGTCAAGCGTTACGGAAAATGCTGCTGGCTTGTTTGGAATGGCAGATGTGTGACGTGGGGCAATCACATTTGGATTGCTAACTAATTAAAAGTGAAGCTCAATCAGTCCGGTCACCCGGACCCTGGCAGAAGTCAACGACCGTCATACTAAAGGCTAACAAATGGATCGGCTGATGTGAAGAACTGAAGATTCGGCGGAATCAATAAAACGGAATCTGTCGCAAGTAGTATGACTGGTCAAACGATGGTACAAATGAAGTGGTAAAATTGAATTGAATTGATATTGGCAATTAAACTCACTCGAATGTACAGAATTGAGGTGATACTGTAGTTTGGCCTTCTCATGAAACGATTTGTCACACTGATCGCACGTATAGGGGCGCAGCGCTGAAGTAGAAGATAAATAACGCCGTTTGAGAAATTTAAAGAAATTCGTACCATACGATTTTTAAAGCACAGTAAGATAGTAATGGGAAACAACCAGAAGAATGAACTAATTGCTAGTGATCCTATTAAGCAAATAAATAAATGAATTGTATATATTTCTCGACGGTGCGAGATTCAGACCAACTGAGTTGCCTGGTCAGTATGTAAAACATACTTAGACGGTAAAGGAAAATGTTAGAATTTTACAAGACATGTCTCAGAGAAGTTTTCCGTGCTCACATATTTAAAAGTAATAAAAATGCGGAAAGTAGAGCGTAGGCATAAATGTAGGCATAGCCCGCAGTAAAGCAATACGACCATCCGTGGAACCATAGCCTGTGGACGTGCTTCCGTGCGGAGTAGGCTCACGACGAGATGTTTCATCCGCACTTCCATGCCACATCACGCAATGTGCTGATGTGCGTTACAGGCACTTAAGTCGCCAATATGTTGAACTTTGGTTTGGTCGCTGTTGTAAGCAATAAGCCATTATCATGAAGAATCATGTATTACGGCCACTGTTATATGTAATAGGAAGTAAACAAGAAAAAAGTTTACTGAGTACAGCAGCTGCAGTATCCACACACAATGTCCGATTGTGATCAGCTAGAGCTGGACAGAGAGCCCTTAAAGTGTGCTCTCGAATGAAAATAAAAGTTTGGGCTTGGGTTTAGCTTGTGCGAATCGGCAGAGCTTCAGCCGGAAATGCAATTATGGGCTAAAGCGTGATGTTTTGAGAAGAGCTTTCATTCTTGGTCCGTTGGGCAGCGCTAGTGAATCCGAGCGCAGTATAGCACAATAAGATAGTAGTGGAAAAACCCACTTCAACTCAGAGCACTGGAAGTTAGCGATTAGCACGCTAGTTCGTTCAAGGTCAGCACGTGTAAGTACGTGGTGAACTTGTCGAAGGTACAACTTAACAAGTTGCAATTAGAATCATCATCAGTTGAAATTGACTGCAAGGTCGCTCCTATGAAGTTGAACGGATTAGTAATTGGTATCAAATTCGAGAACTTTTTGAACAATTTAAAGAACTTAAACGAGCTAGTTCGGGTAAGCTTAATTGCGTCGGAAACATGTTAACTGAAATCGCCCACGAAGTTAATACTACTGTGCCGATTAGAGAAACGTGCACTCTCACAGACCGACACATTCGGGCCTTACGTGAATTACGTGCTAAGAACGTGGTCGTAAGGAAGCCCGATAAAAGCTCTGGAGTGGTGATCATGAACAAGGCCGAAAATAATAAGAAAACATGCGCCATACTCAACGATACGAGGAAACTGGAACAACTCAAGAAACTGGGGGATTGCCGAAATCAAAACACACAATCATCATCCATCGCGTGTTAGTGTGACTTTCGAGACTTTAAAGCCGTAGTTGTAAAGGCCACAGAAAATATAGAGCGGAGTGGCACCCAGGCCGATGGTAAAGACACCTGAAGCCAAACTGGTCCGTTGGCTGGTGATGGCGTTTATTCCGCTATAACAATGGGACAATCCGTACTGTGCTAAAAAATCATTTCAATTCATTGAGAACCTGGATGAAATCAACTTGTCTGACCTTTGGCTGAGGATACTTATTCGCCAACGTCCAGCCACATCAAACCGTTTATTACGTATGTGAAATAGTTGAACATCCTGGCTAAGCATTGCAAATTTCGGACCAATGGTTGAAAAAACCCCTGCTATTGTGCACGGAAAATGTCGGCTTTCACTTTCAGAGCATACCGATGGAGCAGAAATAAGCACAGCGCACTAGACCCTGCACTCGCTGATTTCCCAATGTTAACAGTAGACAGAAGCATTTCGACAAAAGTATTCCAAGTACCCTACATTAAACGCTATGTGGATGATATCTCGGCATACGGTTTCACGAAGCATCAGCTCTGGGGGTTGGTAGAGCGCCTAGTGTGCCAACTTATGGGTCACCTGCCATATCTGGACATCCTCATCAATCGTAGAGAAGTTTGTTTGTCGAAAGGCAACCTGGTATGCCTATATTTGCACTTCATCTGCTTCACACAAGTGCGTTGCAAGTGGATGCTCATAATGACTATTTAGTCGTGCCAGACGAACCTGTTCGGCCGATTGTTTGACCGATGAACTTACTTTATTCACAACAGTGTATGGACGAAAACGATAGACAACAGAGGGCCGAGGGAGTTGGTGTACATGGCAGCCCAGAACGTTCGTATTAAGTTGTCTTACAAGTGATTTCAGCACATTGAAGACAACGAAACATATCATCTCGTCTACACGCGGAAGTTAGAACGTTGTGCAAGTCGTTGGGATCAACCGAAACCTAAGTTTACAGTTCCTTCAAAGAAGGAATCTCAGCGTATCCGGGCCAACTCTCACTGGGTATACCCATTGATGTGTAAGTGCGGAGACAGTTACAAAGGCAGAACCGATAAGACTGACTTCGCGAATGAAGGAACATGCGCGGAAATGGGTTCAGCGTGGAGTTGCCCAGAATCCGGGCTCGCGTACACCGCCGCCTTCCTCAATGGGCAAACGCTCAGCGTTCAAAGTGGTATTGCGTCACGCTTATCGCTGGTTCCGTCCATTTATCGAGGCGGTCACCATAAGCCGGATGAAGCCAGCGTTCAAAAAATTATTCGTCAGGCTAAAGCTGCCCTGTACGTAGTGGTGAACTTCGTTATTCATTCGGTACCTTAGACTTGTTTGACAGTAAGCTATACCCAAGTATATCGGTTAATGGTAATATTACTGTTGTAGCTAAACGAAATGCATACATCTACCAGCGTTTATCTTTTTAATGTGCTTGTAAGAAAGTAAATAGCCATAAGTGAAACACAAGAGAAACACAGCCGCACAATAGTGGACACTCGGTTAGAATTGGAGCACAAAGTTTATAGTGTATAAAGACTCGAGGATTTGGCATGTAAACTAATGGCAGCCGAAGTGAAGTCATCACGGAACTGGAAGCAAATAGTTGATAGATCGAGTGGCTGACGCCTATATGCAATAACCGCTAGGTTCTAATAGCCTCTATTCAGGAGAGTCGTCCTATATTTTGCTCCACTCCTACCATTTAAAGATCATATAGATGAAAACAAGCTCACCGAGACGATATTGGCAGTCAGAAGAAAATGCTAATTGACATCGACGGACGACTATGCAAGGTGCGATGAATTGCAGAATCCGATCCGCTCGCATCTGATGGTAACGTTCCATCGCAATGAGGCTGGACATTACCGGGGTGGAATGGTTTGGGTGCCTCAGAGTTCCGTTGAGCTATGCTGCATGGTGCTTTCTTGCACCTATGGAGCCACTCATACCAGATTGGTCAATGATTAGAGGCCAAGCAAACTCAGCCTCCTGGTCCTCCAGGTTGGGAGTTGGAATGAGAGTGGCTCCTAATTCCTTAAAGGGAACTCCTTGTAGCCCATCGTCAAACCCGCTGCCTTGCGGTCAGGTTGTTGAACCATAGGCTTTGGTTGAGAGCCCTAATCATTCTCCTGTCTAGGCGTGGACAACGTGACAGTATCCTATGAATCTTTCCGCAAACAATTCCGTGAGGCTCTAGCCACCGCACAGGATAATCAACGGTGCCCAATCTGCTGCATCCAGCAGGGTGGATAGGAGTTTGGATGCTACTGCTCAAACTTTCCTGTCCTCTTATTTTCCCTCTTACGCTCTCACGCTTTTTTCAAAGCTTCGAAATTGTTCGGGAATAACAGGTATCTGTTTGTCGTCGATGCCTACGTTCCCACAAACTGTAGCGGTGATTCAGTAAAAGACAAGTTCAATTGCCTACTGAACGAGCTTCTTTGTCACAGAAAAAGCCGGACACTATAGTGCTGGTTGGGGATCTGAACGCTCAAGTTGGAAAATTATCCACTGATGAACAGCGTCTGCGCGGCAAACACGGTGTAGGCTACAATAAGGATAACAGTATGCAGTTACTTCATTTGTGTGAAGATGCCCGCCTGTTGCTTACGAGCACTAATTTACGACAGAGCACCCACCTGAGGATGAGTTGGCGCTCACCAGCCTCGGACCAGCCATTGACGCAAATCGATCACATCGCGATCAGTTACCGCTGGAGAGGCCGTGGCCAGAACTGTCATTCGATTTGGAGAACATGTGTGGACACCGACCATGCACTTGTATGTTATGATCTGCGGATGCGTTTTGGCGGACGTTCACGACGCTGTGAGAGAACTGGAACCAACCAACGGAGAAAACCAGCTATTCTGAATGCCTATCAAAGTAGGCTGACATGCGAGTTGAGTAATCGCTCATTGGATACAATTAGAGCTCAATGGTCTCATGCTCACCAGGAAAATCCTCATTTGATAAGTCTAACTGCCAAAAGGGCCATTGGGTCTCTTAGCATTGTCTGGAACTTATCGATGCTATCCGGCACATTCGGCTGGAAGCGAACACAATGAGACTGGCAGGAACCTCCGGACAAAGCTCCATGCTAGCCTAAAGAGAGACTGCGAATCTTGGTGGTACCGTCGTGCGTCAGATGAAAATGACTGTTGCTCTTGGTAATGATCGGATGTTATTCCGGCTGATACGGGAAACGGGCAGCAGGAAACCTGTGCTCTGTGGCTGCATCGGCGTATCTGTGATGATTGATTCCATAACCTTGAAAAGCACAGGAAGTAGCGCTATTATACGGCAAATGGCAAGGTCAATGCGGCTACCTCCCTTATGAAGTGGTGATCCCTCGCTTCCATATTGGTGGAATTTTTTTCTCCTGTAGTCAACGCAGAAAGATAACGGTCAGTGTTTCTGCTAGATCAATAGCTACAACCAGCAGAGCCTTCAGTCGAATGTTGTCGATTCCAGAAGAACTGTGTGTAGCAGGCAAAACAATTTCTGAAACACAGCTTTCGCAGTGAGGGTCACGTTGGATAACCCCGACGGTGAAGTAATAGAAACGGATAATATATGGGCTAATTACCTGCTGGAATGTTTGGGAGTAATGAAGCCGTAGGAGATCGGCTGTTTCCATCGCTGACCGCTTGCACCCAACAGCCGTAACCAGGTGCTTCACCTTGCGAAGGCCATTAACGTGCCTGCACCATCGAATTCTACTGCACAAGTTTCAGAATCATGGAATTGGTGATCATGTTTTGGACTGGATAAGCGACTTTCTCACAATTTCAACAAATTCTACGGCGCGCTCCGCGAGAGTGTGATCTCGCCGTGCTCGCACAAGATGAACTTGGTTGTTTGAGGAGATTGAAAAGGCAACAAAGAAAGCAAATCAGCACTATGGAAACATTCGCAGCACGTCCGAGAAATTTGACGCCTCAGTCTTTCCAAAAATACTTGGCGCGTATGTGACGCCGCATGCGGAATACTCCATCCATGCATGGAACTAATGACAGAAGCACCATCACCCCACGCAGAGGGCGACAAAAAAATCAACGGATTGTTCCCTCTACTTTAACCAATCAGGCTGAAAACACGAAAAGTGTACAGCGGACACTATCGGCATCTACGGGACAATTCGATAACGGCGTATCAGATATACTTAACCCAACCTCACTTGCCATTAGCTAATGAAACTCGACCAAAACACATGTCTGAGGAGTAATCAGTTGAAGTTGATCAGGTAGTCCAGCCGACTGAAATGACGGCTAGCCATTTTATTCCGCCATCTAAGCAAAGGAGCACCCCCACACGCATGTACTTAATGCAGATTACTTATCACAAGTTGAAAACACCTTTGTGTTAGTCAGACGCATTCATACAACGTGATGCAGCCAAGGACCATCAGATCATGGTATAGTACACAACAATCAGTGGACAACGTCATAATGCACTAAAACTCAAGGCAGGAAAATCACACGTGTGCTACTCCAAACATGCTGGTCAGTAATGTATCTCGCGCGCTAATTTACCGAACCTGTCTTTCATCTTAAAATTTTCACCCCAACCATTCTATGGAACTAGTCAAGCACGTGATTTAACAACTATTAAAAGCCATGGCTCCATAACGAATAAGCAAACGATTGACTGCATGGGTGGCGAGCACACTTTACGCAATGGTCTGTCAATGCGTCCTCCATAGGACAGCAAAGAGAGATCTGCGCGTACAGAGCTACCATGGGTGGCTTGCGCCGCACCATCCACAGTTCAATTTGGTGTAAGCCCGAAGGAACAAGATCGAGAGGCATATAGATGGGAACCACGTTTCATCAAGGGAACCGGCCTACACACTAATTCAACTTGCATAGCAACAGCATTTCTGTCCGTCTAATTGGAGAAGCACACCCATATTTGACCATAGCACAGCCACAAAGGACCATGCAAATCATCCTCTAAGAAACGACCAACTGTCGCTTGCAGGCAGTCCAATACAGGTGGCGGTTTTACGATAAAACCGCACCCACAATGGGTTTATCAAACAGCATACACAGAACACGAAGGAAAATACACACGACTTCTGGACGGAATGTGTGCGGCGGCACAACTGAAAAAGATAATATAAAATATATGCATTGATTTAGTGTAAAGATGATCTTCGGTGATTGGAAGTGAAAGTCAGGGAATACCAAACAAGGACAACGGAAACGATAGAAGCCAAAGCGCAAAAGAAATGGGAACTGTACGAATAGTTATCTGGACTGACGGGTTTAGTCAGACCGTGTATTGCGGAACAAATGTGAGTCAGCTCTAATGCGGGGAAGAGGCATGATAAATAGACACAATATACACAAGAACACTAGGCTTCAAAATGAAAAGATCGCAATGTTTATTCGGCTGAAAACAAGTAAAACCATGGACAATGGCACAACACGGACTCACCTAAATGAGTAGCACTGATGTGCCTCTGCAAAGCGTACTTTAAGGAAAACAATTTACCACATCGGTCACACGTATGGGGGCGTAATTCTGGATGGAAAAACAGAAAGCGAACAATCTATGTTCAACCACGCAGGGAAAACAGGCGGATAATTGTGAATAATCTGTTACAATGTTGTGCATATATCGTGGCGCGAAAGAGTCATTTCGATGACAGAGGAATCACAACGTGAAGATGTGGCTACTAATTTTCAGCTTTCTCGCAATGCGACCCAGAATAATCAAAAACAGTGTGTGCGCAGCCTAAGAGCAACGACTGCTTGATGCCAGTTTTGCGCACGAGGTAAGGTACCAACATGTTGATTGTACACAATTGTGGATAACATTTAGCTTCTGACACAAAAGCTTTCTCTGGTCCATTGAACCCATGGATCCTTGGAATGGTACTTACAGCAACCTGGCAAGATAACTGCGGACCACTTGGAACAGTGCCGTGCACCACTAGAAGTGGGAATGTAAGGTTCTTCCACGGCACCGCCACGGTCGGTTCTTATATAAAAAGGATGAGAGAGTGCCACCGAATGAAAGGAGCGGGTTAACCGCTAACTTGAACAAAAAATGTGCACGGGTTAAAAGGCAGTGCTTTACAAGTCCCGTTGGGTAGTTTGGTGGGGTTATCGAACTAGTACTAATAAAACAGTACTTCAAGTAGAAGGAGAGGAAGTTAACTTGTTCCACTGTGGTCCTGCAGTTCGCGTAGTTTCACAATACACAAAGATAACGGCAATCAAATACATGGTATATTTCAGGGTAGGATGAAGACAGTGTTAAGTAACAACGTGTAATTGAATGTGTGCGTCACCCAACCGTCTTTTACATATTGTTGTCGTTGGTGCAGCGACAGACGATACAGGGAGAGCATTCCAAGGGTGACATACACGAATGGAAAAGAAATTTCTGCGGCACTTCAGATGGCTCTACTGTTCGGCCAGCTCCAGAGTAAGTGACCTTTCAGATTTGTGTTGTCGCTGAGTTGTAGTAGGAGGTGGCACGAATGATGTGAGTCGTGAAGAATCAAGCAGGTCATTAACAGATCGCATCGTAATCTGCGATATCATCGGCCGAATACCACCAGTAGTTTCAGCGTCTGTCCGTATAGGAGGTTGTGCATTCCAATGGCGTAGTTGGGTGCCGGACGCTGAAGGAGTGCTCCAGTACAGTAAGATCGTGTTCAAGCTATGGATGCCGGGAATGAATTGCGTATTGCACATTGGGGGCGAACACGCACTGAGCATCTGCCGAAAAACTAGTGATGTTTATTTGTCCGAACACCCACTGCAACAGCACAAAGTTTTGGTTGCCAGCCTTGGGGTAATTTTCCGATTCCTTTGAACAAACTAAGTCATGTTAAATCAACTAACCCAGATCAAGTTCGACGGACGATTGATGCATTTCATGCGTTCCGGGCCTCTACGAGTAAGTGATCTGGTTTCGTATGAATAGTACCGTGCATTCAATTACGTTGAAAGGCAGAAAAGTTTTGATTGACCAGCGATATACCATGTGGAAGTCACTCTGGAGCAGATGCTGGTCAGCATACATTTGAATCCTACGCCGAAGTTTGATGCCGTCGGCGGGGATTATCTGTGCGAGATAATTGATAAACACCAAAAGTAATCGTGGATCCAGAACTGAGCCTTGCGGCACACCACATGCAACTCGTATGGGATCCGATAAAGAGTTCCGGACTCTGAGAACTAATTGTTTCTGAAGTAGAAATTTTGCGATCCAGCTTAGAAGCGGGTCCTGCTCGCGCAATACTCGAGCTTGGAAAGAAATATCCGATGATCCAGACAATCGAAAGCCTGCGAAAAATGCAGGTGGATCACATCAACATCGTTTCGAGCGTCAGCTGACTCGGTTTAACTACTGCGTGCGATCAGCAAATTTGTTGTGCACGATCGCTGTCGACAGAAGCCGTGCTGTTCGGAAGTAATAATGTCACAAGTTTCCAGATAAGACATCAGCGTATCGGAAGCTTGTTCTGGTCCATGTAGCGCTGTAAAACTGAGCCAAAGGTTCTGCTAGTTGTCCTACCGCTGCTCCCAATGCCTCTGGGCAAATGATATCAACACCCTGGCAGCTGCGGTTGTGCAGTGACGTCAGTTGCTGCTATACAGCTTCAGCGGTAAAAGAGATGTGGTTGAAGGTTGGCGGCGAGGCGACAAAAGCTGGAAGAGTACTCGATGGCAAGACCTGCTGAAAAGTTGGGAGTATTGTGTCCGCTGCGTGTCTGCTGCTTCCATTAGCTTTCTTGTTAGGCCATCCGTCGTTCTGAGTGGAGGAATTCCTTGCCTCGCCTTCCGTAGGCCACTGACGTGCTTGTACAGCAATTTGTGAATAGCACTGAAGGTTTTTGTCATAGTCTGCTGATGTGCGACTATCTTCTCTGGGCAGCTGACTGCGGTGGTTACGTTTCTGAGGTTGGAGCTACTTGATACGCTCGCCATGCTGTATTGCGTACTAATAACCACTTTCCGGTTCTGATCCTAACGAATGAAACTGAATTAGACCAGTTACAAACTCTTGTCTCTGAAGCATCTGTAACCAGCTGACTGAATTTGTTGACGAACGCAATCCAGGCGACTTCTGGGGGTTCTTCGGCAAGGAACGATCAGGTCGTGGCGCTGACAAACTGGAACAATCGATCGTAACGTGTGATGGTTCGCACTGTCTCAAAGCTCTCATTCCGATATTCTGCGTAGCAGACGAAGCTGAAACGAATGGTTGCATAATCACTGCAACCCAACGGGCAGACTAGAACACATCCAGCATATGCTCCTCGTTGGTAAGTACAAGATTCAGCACAGACGGCCGGTTACCTGTTCAGAACCGAGTGGACACAGTGACGTGGTTATACAGTGGAACAGTGGTAAGGAGATCTTGCAGATCGGTTTCGAATTGTTCTCCGATCGTGGTAGGGATTTCTAAACAATGTGTGCTGAAATCACAAATGATAAGGATGCGAGTGTATCTTCTCTTCAGGGTGGGTCTTAAAGCAGCCGCAAAGTGACAGTCCGTTTCGGTTTTGGAGTTCGGCGAACGACACAACAAGTCTATAAGGCAAGTGTCTGCTTTTTAACTGCACGCGGCACCAAAGAGAATCGGGGAATTGCGAGTCTGAATACGTAATGGCATCAGACTGTAAGTCGCTTCGGTAATACAGAATGACCCCTACTCCTTTTGTGAGCCCATCGTTCCTGATGAGCGATATGTCTGGTAATGAAATTTCAGCGTCCGCCAATCCAGTGTGTAACCATGTCTCAGTGATACCGATGGTAGTATATGACCCCAAAACTTGGCGATCTTTAAGTTCGGATATCTTATTGAAAAGACCTGAGCATTTGTAAACAAGCAGCCTAGTTTCTCCGTCTCTAGGAGCACAAATATTGCTAAAGCAGTCAGATGTGAGAATGTCGACCGATGGGAGGTCGGATGTTACCAGTATTTTTGATGGGTTACTGATACCTCATCAGTAACTTGATTCGGCCAAGGAGCGTCCCAATCCTCGTTTAGAGTTACATCAGATTCGAGTAAGGAAGCAGTCAAGTGAAGCTACTGAGTCGTTGCCGGTACGTTTGCTGCTTCAGATGCCCTGATATCCTGTCTGTGCAAAGCGTCTGCAGTCTTTAAACCGAAATTCAGAAGGAAGACTTCCGATTTCTTCGCCATCGATCCAAAACATCCGTTGATGTTTGCGCTGACTGAACCGCATCGGCTGTAATTTGGTTAGAGGGGTAAGCTTTTGAACGGTAGCGCCACAACATTATCAAAGAAAAGTGCTTCACGTATGAACCGCCACTATTTTAAAAGTTGATTTCTGGTCTCTCGGAGACCGTTGGAAAACACCTATGGAACGCCATGGATGAAGATTGTGTTTAGACGATCTAGCTTGCTGTGTCCATTTTCGATGTTTCTTTTCGACTGCCGTGTGCTCCATGGAACATCAGGATAGATGCGTATCCCACAGGGTCCGTGCGCGATTGCAGAGAGAAAAATGTTTTCAACTTTAGCAAAGGATTCGAGTGTTACTCGAATAAGTCTGGGTTTTCCATAATGCGTAGAGTTCGGTTAACAAGCAACCCATATTAGGTTTATAGGTTTGGCTTTGAGGCGCATCAGAACGCACAATGAGTTAGAATGGTCTTGGTCACACGACAACTTGCCACTCAATGAGATGGCGGTAGATTCGGAGACATTCGAACATACAACAGTTAGACTACTACTGTTAGCTACCTTTTTCGTTGAGCTACACGGTAAAGCAATAGTTTGTCTTGACCCGCTGTCAAGTGACGATTGTATACTGTTTGTCCCTCTATTCACGTTAAGGTTGTTTGTAACAGAAGAGACCGCAAGGGAGGCCACCAGGAAGAACTTTGCAGCAATCTTTATTCGGCAAGAGACTTTTGAAATGCAGGCGCAGAGTACTAGTTCTTGACTGCTTCGTCCTTGTTAATGACAGATGACAGGTTTAATGGGATTTGATTAACAAAAATTTCTGGGTGATACCTGGTTTTCGTCGCCATGAGTAGTGCTTGACTCTCGCAGCCACGATCCATTTTCACCTGGCATTCTGGCAATGTTGGAGAACACACTGGTGATGGAGACCTGGCTGATTGTGTTTCCGGGGAAGTAGATAGTGCAGCATTCCTCCGCTTAGAGGCCACCACGCCTCCTTGGTATGGACTCATTTCCAATGAAGTAACCGTATGGTTCATGCGTTGCTCGGCTTCTGCTGTTAACCGATTGCATTTCTGGACTGGGATAAGCATACGCTAAAGTACTGAGATGGTCAAACACGCAGTGTAGAACCAAAGGAGATCTTAGGAGCTATTTCGCTCTCGTATCTGTTGTTGGGACAAAATCTGCACACAATGGATAATACCAGTTGAAACAATGCGAGCAGGATAAACCTAATTTAACTACTCGATGACATACTAGTAAAACGCAGAAACCCTTCACCTGGAGCCTTTTTAGATTCGTATTTGCTTGGTTTCTGCCATTCAGCTTGGTAAGGTTACCTGACGTGG